CTGCCAAGACAAACCCAGGAACTAAATTAACACAATTACAAAACACTTTTTAAGAAAATGAAGTCGTATCTAAACAATTGGAAAAATATCATTTGCTCATGGGTAGGCTGAGCTAGTATAATAAAAATGACAATTCTACCTAATTTACTCATTCAGTGCCATACCAATCAAACTACCAAAAATTATTTTATAGAGCTAGAAAAATGATAACAAAATTCATCTGGAAGAATAAAAGGTCAAGGATATCAAAGGAATTAATGACAAAATTCAAAGGAAGGTGGCCTAGCTGTATCAGATCTGAAACTATATTATAAAGCAGCAATCACCAAAAACTATTTGGGATGGCTAGGAAATAGAATGGTGGATCAGTGAAAAAGGTTAAGTACACAAGACAGTAGTAAATGACTATAGTAATCTATTCTTTGATAAACCTAAAGACTCCAGCTTCTGGGATAAGAACTTACTATTGATAAAAACTGCTGGAAAAACTGGAAAAATTAAATTTAAAAGTTTTAAATTAAATTAAAAAATTTTTTACACAAAGCCAATGCAACCAAGATTAGAAGGAAAGCAAAAAGCTTGGAAACAATTTTTATGGCCAATATTTCTGATAAAGGCCTCATTTCTAAAACATATAGAGAACTGAATCAATTTTATAAGAATATAAGTCATTCCCCAAATGATAAATGGTCAAAGGATGTGAACAGACACTTTTCAGATGAAGAAATTAAAGCTATAGACTATCTATAGTCATATAAAAATGCTGTAAATCACTATTGATTAGAGAAATGAAAATTAAAATAATTGAGATATCACTTCACACCTCTCAGATTGGCTAATATGACAGAAAAGAAAAATGATAAATATTTGAGAAAATTTGGGAAAATTGGAACACTAGTGCATTGTTGGTGGAGTTATGAACTGATCCAACCATTCTGGAGAACAATTTGGAACTATGCCAAAAGGGCTCGAAATTGTGCATACCCTTTGATCCAACAATACTACTACTAGGTCTGTATCCCAAAGAGATCATTAAAAAGGGAAAAAGACCCACATGTACAAACATTTATAGCAGCTCTTTTTTTAAAAATATATTTATTTATTTTTAGTTTTCAACACTCACTTCCATAAGATTTTGAGTTCCAAAATTTTCTCCCCATCTCTGCTTTCCCCCCACCCCAAGACAATGTGCAATTTGATATAGGCTCTACATATACATTCATGTTGAACCTATTTTCACATTAGTCATATTCTAAAGAAGAATTAGAACCAATGTGAGAAACCACAAGAAAGAAGAAACAAACCAAAAAAAAAGAGAGATATCAAATGATGTGATTAGATCTGCATTCAGAGTCCATAGTTCTTTTTCTGCACGTGGACAGCATTTTCCACCATGAGACCTTTGGAGTTGTCTTGTATCATTGCATTGCTGAGAAGGGCTAAGTCTATCAAAGTTAGTCATCTCATATCATGGCTGTTACTGTGTACAATGTTCTCCTGGTTCTGCTCACTTCACTTAGCATCAATCCATCTAAGTCTTTCCAGGTTTTTCTGAAGTCTGCCTATAGCAGCTCTTTTTGTGGTGGCAAAGAAGTGGAAATTAAGGAGATGCCTATCAATTGGGGAATGGCTGAACAAGTTGTGATATATGAATATAATGGAATACTACTGTGCTGTAAGAAATGATGAGCAAGCGGACTTCAGAAAAACCTGGAAAGACTTATATAAACTGGTACTGGGTGAAGAGAGCAGAACCAGGAGAACATTGTGCACAGTAACAGCCACAATGTGTGATGACTAATTTTGATAGATTTGGCCCTTCTCAGCAATGCAATGATCCAAGACAATTCCAAAAGACTCATGATAAAAAAAAAATGCTATCCACATCCAGAGAAAGAACCATGGAGTGTGAATGCAGATTGAAGCATACTATTTTCACTTTTCTTTTGCTTTTTCTTTCTCATGGTTTTACCCTTTTCTTCTGATTCTTCTTTCACAACATGACTAATGTGGAAATATGTTTAATGTGATTGCACATGTATAACCTGTATCAGATTGTTTGTTGTCTTGGGAGGGGGAGAAAAGGAGGGAGGGAGAAAAATTTGGAAATCAAAATCTTATAAAAGTAAATGTTTAAAACTGTCTTTACATGTAATTGTAAAAATTAATATACTATTAAGTGGAAAAAATAAAATAAAATAATAAATACATATAAACAAAAAGAGATCATCTATCTCAACCCTCTCATTTTACAGAGGAGAGAACTGAGGCCCAGGGGGGATTTGCCTAAAGTGACATACAAGTGACATAAATAGGATTCAAACCCAGGTCTCATGACTCCAAAGACAATGTATTTTTCCTTTCCCATGCTGCCTCAAATGAAAACAATCCTAGAGCCATCAGCAGTGAATGGATCATGCTTTGAAGGAAACTAGGGGTGGTAGGACAGTGTCCCCCTAGATCAATAGATCCAACCCTAGTCTTTCTTCTAAGCTACAGACCCTCATCACCAACTGCCTTTTGGATATCTCCGATTCGATGTCCTTTAACCATTTCAGACTCACAGTATCTAAAAGAGAACACATTATCTTTCCCCAGAAACCATCCTTTCTTCCAATTTTCCTATCACCATCAAGGTCACCACCATCTTCCTCTCAGTCCCCTACTCACCTCGTTATCTTAATTTCCTTACTTTTAGTTACCCTCATGGTCCTTTGGTTATCAAATCTTGTTTCTAACTTGACACCATCTCTCATATGTATCTTCTTTTCTCAACTCATAAGACAGCTGCCATATTGTGGGTTCTCATCATCTCTTGCCTGGACTATTACAATAGCCTTCTAATTGGTCTTCCTGTCTCACCCATTCCCTCACTTTAATCCATCCTCCACTCAACTCTTAAAGGGTTGGGGGGAGGTGGCTTGGGGAATGGAGGAGACCAGGAAAAGACTCCTGCAGAGGTGTGATTTGAGCTTCTAGTGAAACTAGAAGCTGGAGATTAGGAGAGAAGGCACTCCAGGCACTCTATGCAGAGACATGGAGCCGTACTCTTTACACAGTTTGTACCTAATTATTTATATGTTTTGTGTGTCCCCACCCCCCAACCCCATGCCTCGCCCATTAGAATATGACTGTGCTTAGCACAGTGCCTGGCACATGTTAAGTGCATAATAAATAGCTGTTAAGTGGCTAGCTGGCTTTGAATCCAAATTCTCATTTGTGCTTTCTGTGTGGTGTTAGGCATCTCCTTTTTGAGTTTTAGTTTCTTCATATCAGCCAACAAGCATTTATCAAGCATAAACCACGTGCCAGGTATTCCACCCAATAAGCATTTATTGAGAGGATTAGACTAGGTAAACTGTAAGTCCTTCCTAGTTCTGAATTCTACGACTTCTTTCCACTAAACTGTATTTTCTGTTGATGTGACAGTGCTTCAGGTATTAGAGGAGGATGGCCATCTTGGAAACCTTTTACTGCTTCAAAGATAACTTCATAAGTGCCTGCAGTACTGTTGGCTCAGATGATTTCTGATTATTCTCAACCTCTAGAGAGCAGCGACCTTCTCTGCTTTGTATATCTACATATCTGGCAACATCTGAATTGTAATTATTCATATATGTGCGGTCTCTTATGATTTCAAGGTATTTTACATACATGAACTCATATGACTCCCTTAACAAGCCTATGACTAGGGAACAGAAGAAAGTATTATTATTCCTGGTCAACAAATTAGATGTAATGCAAACATAGAGGTTACATAACTTTCCTGAGGTCATGTCACTAGCAAGTGGCAGAACGAAGATTTGAATTCAATCCTTCTGACTCCACATTCAGAACTCTTGGCACAATATCGTGGGCTGGTTGATCGGTGGGTTGGATGGATGGGTTGGTAGGGTAGTTGTAGACAGTCGGTTGGTTGGATGGAGTATCGGGTGGATAAATGGTTAGCTGGCTGGTTGACTGGATGGATGATATATTGGCTGGTTGATTCATGAGATAGTTGATCTGTTATTTTGTAGTATGGTTGGTGGATCGGTCAGTTGGTTAGATGGATGGTTTCTTGGTTATATCTCCAGTTAGTTAACCAGATGATTGATTGGATGGGGGTTTTTTGGCTAGTTTCTTAGTGGTCAGGTGTTTGGTTGGTTAGTTGGATGAACGGACAGATGAATGAGTGGATTCATGGATGGATGGTTGGGTTGGTGTATAGTTGGGTTGATGGATGGTTGGGTTGATGGATGGATATTTGCCTGTGTGGTTTTATGGTTGATTTGATGAGGACTATTTGGTTATACGGTTCGCTGGATGGATGGTTGGGAAATCATTTGAATAGTTGTTTCATTAGTTGCATGGTTGGTTATATTAGAAACGAAATACAATGAAAAGCCTAATAGACCCAAGATCATGAGAGACTAGCTGTGTAACTATGTGGAAGCCATGTCATGCCTCTGAGCCTGTTTTCTCACTCAAAATGCAGAGGTTAGACCCTCCTATCACAATCGTCAATCATTCGTCCACTAACCACACAACCAAGGTTATTATGCAAGGATCCCCAGACTTTGAGTCAGAAGCTTCCTCCCTACTGATCCTCTACTCCTTGCACGTCACACAACTTCTTTATTTTGGTCTGTAGTAGTTTCAAGGTTATTATAAAGGTTATTATACATATGTGTATATATATATATATATGTATATGTACATGTAGTGTCTGTGTATATATATATATATATGACTTCTGTTACTACTATCATTGTTGGTGGTGGTAGAATGGATAAATGCATTCTTTCCTATTCCCCTCTCGCCATCAGCAACATGAAAAGTACCTTCCCCAACCCTACTCCCAACCTATCCCACCAACATTGACTGCTAGTGGCTGTGGAACCTTCCAAGGTCTGGCACAGGGAGGGATGGGAGGGAGCTTCTTCTACAGAGATGAGCATCCTGGCCAGGCAAGGCAGCCCCTGACAGAGCTGATGGCATGGATTTCTTTTTCCTTCTAGTACAACCACAGTGCCTTCTCCATCCAAGGCTACCAACGGCTATGACACCGCCAAGCCTCCCACCAGGTTTGCCAAACAGCTAGAGCATTGGCCCCCACCAGCCCCACCAGAACCCCCAGGGCCCTCCAGAAGCTCAGCCTCGGGCACTTCTCCCCTGACTTCCTTCCTTCTCATCACGACTGGCGCCATCCTCCTGCATGTGGTGCGGCCATCCTGACTTCCATCGATCCCAGGTGCAATAGCAGGAGTAGAGACTGTGGTAATTTATGAATTGATTCTGAGGGTGTGGCTATCCTCCCCTGCCCCCTGGGAAGCTCCTAGGGCTATCTCCCAACATCCCAGGAGGATTCTGGCCTCCTGGGGAGGGCTTGACACATTTCTGGGAAACACTAAAAGCTTTCTCATGATACTGACTTACATCTTCTTTTTTGTAGAAGGATCTTAATTTCCCCTAGTACTATGGGGCTTGTTTTGTAATATATTTGTCCATGTTTTAAAAAAAAAGGCATATTTATTCTACGATAAACTTATTTTTATGATGTATATGTTAATAATACACTTATTAAACTGTATTGCCGACCACCCAGCTAAATGAATATTTCCTATCTGTGACTTTAACATCTTCCTCCCTAAGGGTTCAGAGCAAGCTTTAGACTGGGCAAGGGCAGTCAGTGTTTGTATTTTGCCTTCCCCAGGAACTATAGGATTGAAGTGGCTGCCCACACTCTGTAGGAATCGGGATGATAGACTCACATGACACATGGTTTCAACCAAAGGTCTGGGAGGATGAATGTTAGAAATGGAGCCCCTCAACCCCAACCCTGGGAAGTAGCTGCTCCAGAGGGGGTCTTGGGCTCAGTAGGGTGGGAAAGGGTGCCTTGTCCCATCACTGGGAAGACGTTTGCTCATGCATATGCTGCTATTGTGAAAGCCCAGAGCAGTCACCGAATTCACCTTTGAATTCACCTGGTACCCCCAGGCAGGTGACTTGACCAAAACATAGAATGAGTGGTGTTCCTTCATGTGGCCGTGCGACAACAAGCTGGTCACCAAGGAAGAGGGATACCCCAGAGTTAGAAGAAAGCGTTGAGAACATTAAGCCTCACCCCATTGTTTTCAGTGATGGGGATTGAGATTCAGAGAGAGGAAGGGCCTTGTCCAGGGTTACATAAGAGAAGTGAGACTGGAGCATAGGTCAGGAGAAATATATCTCAGAAGGAAGCCCTGGAAAGGAGAGAAAATGAATAATATTATCCCCATTTGGCAGATGGGAAAACTGAGGCCAAGCAACTCACCTAAAATCACATAAAGAAAGACTTTCAGAGGATTTAGAAATCATCACATCTAATTCCTTTATTTCACAGAGGGGGAAACTGAGGTCTATGGAGGGGCAGGACCTTCTCTCAGGTCTCACAGTAGGTGAAAAACTCTTGAGGTTTGGGGCCAGTTGGACAAGTTGGTCTTACCATAGAGGTCTCTGAAATTTAGAGCCAGAGAAACTTTAGAGAGGGCAAGCAGCTGAGGCCCAAGAGGGTAAGGAAGGCAAGCCAGGGCTGGAACCCAGGGCTTTGAATTCTCGGCCCTGAAATGTTTCTCCTCTGTCCAGATGAGGATTCCAGTCTGTTTGCAATGCTGCTCATCCATAGCTGGAAGCAGAGGGCAGGGGGCAGGGACATGGAACAGCCCTGGGGTTAGAAGAGGGACAGAGGATGCCCTTCACCTTCTCCAGCCCTTTCCTGAACTCAAACGATAGAGAAGCCAGATGGGCACAAAGCAGGTGTTAGGATGTGAATTCTGTAAGGGCAGAAACCGCAGTCAGGCCCGTGGCAGACCTAATTCTAAGGCCAGGATCAGGGCTTAGCCTGGGACCTGGGTCTAAGTTTGCTCTATGATTGAAGTCAGGCTTAGTCTAGGGTCAGAGTCAGGGTCTATGAAAGCCTAGTATTGGGTCTTGATCTATGATGAGAGTTCTGTGGCAAACTCAGCTTTCCTATTGTGACTGACCCATCAAGAACACACTTGGCCCTTAACTCAACCAGCCAGCCAATCACCGGAGCTCTTTCCTGAATCCCCACAGTGCCTGTGTCTGTGCTTGGGTGCCTTATGGGAGAACTGAGCTCCTGCCTTCTGGGAATCTGGTGACAGAGAAAATCCACAAGCAAGAAGTCAACCTACAAAAGAAATCATGGCGAATCCTCCAGGTGACCTTTGAAGACATTAAGTTGTGCAGTGGATAGTAAGTGCTGTGAGGCTCTTCGTAAGCTCTGCTCAGCTCAGGGATATCTAAGGCACTCAAGGTGGGCTTCCCAGAGGAGGAGGCCCCTGCTTAGGACTCAAGCTTAAGAAGAGGAATAGCATCATTTGAATAGAAGTGAAAGCCAGTTTCTGGACTGTGTCAAAGCTGTTTCCCCACACACCATCCTGGGCCTTAGCCTTGGTGACCAAGCCTCAGGAAGAGATCTCTGGAGCAACACAAAGATGCTGCCCTCGGGGTAAGGCAAGATGCCAATAGACAGGAAACAGAGAAGCTCAGGATCTCAGACTCTGAGTTGGAAGGGACCCCAGCGGCGTAACCCCATGAACAATAATCCCTGCAACAGTTTCCTTGATGGATAATCAGCCAGCCTCTCCTCGAAAAAAAGAAGAGCTCACTACCTTTCAAAGCAGCCCATGTCTCTTTGGGACCCTGCTGATTAGACTGTAAGAATCTTGTTTTCCCTAGCCTGAGTAATCCTTTGTAATGAGGCAAAGCCAAATGCTGGAAACAACTGAATTTAGAGTCAGAGGATCATATATTGGGAACTCTAGGCTACCTTGGAGATTACTTAGTTCACTCCCTACACCCCCCAACTTCTCTCCCCACCCCCACCCCCCACTCTACAGAGGAAGGGATCAAGGTCTAGAGAGGGCAAGTGATTTGTCCAAGGTTGCACAAATGTGACGGGGCAGAGCTGAGCTTTGGGCGAGGTTTGCTAACTCCAAATCCCCTGGTCTTTCCACGTCGCCATGGTTCCAGAACTTGGGTTTAAATTCTGGCACTTATGCTTAAACATTGTAGGACCTTAAGCCGATGACTTGCTCTAGTTCTGGGACTCTTTTTTCCCTCTATGAGAGGGCTGGACTGGAGAGGGTCTGGGGTCCTTTCCAGCTCTGGGTCCTATGAAGCTATCCCCAGGCAGAGTATCTGGCCAAGAAGTGACCGAGCTGGGGCCTGACTGCTCCAGGGATGGTGCTGACAAGCCTCTGTGGCTCCCTGCAGACTCATCACCCGACTGTGTCTGAGCTCAGGACCAGATGCTGTTCTGCGTGAGCTGGACCCCACCCCCAGGCCCATCTTCGTGCAGGGACCTCTCTTCACAAGGCTTTGTTCCAGTCGGCAGGGCCAGGGCCATGCACGGGAGAACCAACCAGCCACACTCTCCAGAGTCTACTGGCCCTTCACCATCCCCGCACCAGGAGTGGAACGTGAAATCTCCAACCTGGCTGGCTTCTCCTTGGCAAAGAAGACACTTCCGACTTCTGAGAGAAAGGGGCTTAGCGAGCTTAGGAAGGGGGCTCCAATGGCTTGTTGGACATCAAACAGAGCTTGCAAAACAGGATTTTGGTGAGATAAGTGTAAAGGAATTAGAAACACACGGGCCAGACTTCCCTCTGACATGCCCGCTGCCACCTCTGGGGAGGCTGGCCTGGTGAGTGTGGCTTCGGTTCCATAGGAAAGAAAGTGTTGGCGAAAACAGTCCCTCAATAGAGGTTGGCCCCAAGAATCCTTTGTGCCCAGGCCTGGGTGGGGCCAAGTCCTGACTCACTTTTTCTGCTTTCCTCTCCATTAGTTTTAGAAACAGATGCGGGAAACAAGGTCAGCTCTCAAGGACCCTGTCATCCAGATGGGGAAAGTGAATTTGAAGGCTAGCTTTTTGAGAGCAGGGACTGTCTGGCTTTTCTATTTCTAGTCCTAGCACAGTGCTTTGTATGCAGTAAGGGCTTAAGCAATGCTTTATTTATTCATTCATTCATTCAAATGAGGCTACTCCAAGGTGCTGGCCCTCAGAGGCCTTCTTGTCAGTCAACAAGTATTGTTAAGTGTGTGCTGTGTTTCCTGCCCTGTGCTCCCAGACACACACACACACACACACACACACACACACACACACACACACACACACACACACATGTCCCTACCCTCAGGGGGCTTACATTCTAAAGTCTACATACAGTCTGTGAGTTGGAAGGGATCTCAGGGGCTTAGTCCAGTCTGTGTCTGAATGACAATCCTCTCAGCAATCTCTCTGCCTAGTGGTCATACAGCGTCTATTTGAAGACTGGAAGTGACAGGGAACTCACTACTTGCTAAGGTGGCCCATTCCACAGTTGAGCGGCTGTAATGGTGAAGATTTTCCTTAGAGCCAATCTGAATGTGTCTTTTTGTACTTCCCCTGACTGCTCTCTGTTTTGCTCTCTGGGGCCAAGCTGAACAAGGCTAATCCCTCTTCCACACAAAATCCTTTAGTATTTGAAGCTGACAGCTGATAGCTTGTTTTCTTCTGCCTTAATATCCCCAGTTCCTTAAACTGATGTTTGTACAGCCTGGTCTCCAATCCTCTTACTGTCTGGGCTGCCTGCTTCTGCACAGCCCCTCAGCATGGCTGCCGAGTCCCCTACATCCCTTCTCCCCCGTGTCCTGTTCCAGCTGGGGACCCTGCTCCCTTGCTGACTCCCAGTGTGCAGAGCCCACTTTTCCTGATAAAGTATCTGGCGTGTCAGTGAGCAGGGGTCTGTCCACAGCCCCAATCCCTGGGGGAAGCCCTTTGGGACGCTATGGACCATGGGAGCTGTTCTCTGCCCGCTTCTATCAGCACCTCGGGAATGTCTTTGATGAAGTGCTTTCAGCTCCTAGCCAATCTGTGGCTGAGAGCTAGAAGGAGCTGGCTTTGAGACAAGAGCTTGAGGATATATGGTGAGTTCTTGGAATCACAAACACATGTCCACACGAAATGTGATGTAAACACGTGTGTTGTCTCCATGTGTGGATGTGACTTGTGACTCAGGTCCCCGCCCCACCCTATCCCCTTCTCCTCTCCTCTGTTATTCCAGAACTAATCAAATCAACAGTCTATCCCTGGACCTTGGACATGGTGAATGGATGGAGCCAGGACCTGGTCTTCTTCAGGACAGATGTCAGTCAGAGGCACCTCCTCTAGTCCTCCATCTCTGGAATTTCAGGTTGTCACAGAGTTATGGGATTTAGGGTTGGCAGCAATGTCAGAATGTAGACTGTGGAGCATCAGAGCTAGAAAAGATCAGATGAACAGAAAGTCAGAGCTGGGAGGGATTTAGACTATGGCACAATAAACATTCTAAGAGGCATCTCTAAGATGCTCTCATCTCACTTTCCTCATTTTACAAATGGGGAAAATGAGGCTCCAGCAGTTGTCAGAAGTAGCTTTTTGGATAGCCTTGGGTTAACAATGTCGATGATGCTCTGAACATTAAGTAATGAGACCTGGGTTCTATTCCTAACTTTCCAGTTTGCCATGACATGACTGGGCAAAACTTGGCCCTTCTCTGGATCTTCATGCCTACCTTTGTAAAGGAGGAAGTCAGACTCCAAAGTCCTCTCACATGCTAAATCCGAGGATCTGACTTCATCACTGGGGGCCTCAGTTTCTTCACCTGTCAAAGCAGGGTAATAACCCACTCCTACCACCCTTCCCAAAGCACTAAATCAGAACTGACATGGCAGAAAGGAATAGTCAGTATTTTAAACCAAAGCCTGGGGTGTGCTCTGCTTTTTATTTTGAGGTAGAAGAAGATTATTTGTGTGTGGGGTAGGGGTGAGAGAAAGCAGATTCCAAATTAGCAAAGGCTTCAAAATGTACTTCCCTGGGCCCAAACACCAAATCAGTCCATCCATCAGCTCACCAGCATTCCTTCCTGGAAAGCACTGGCTGAGTTTAATTCAGGGTGGGCACTACCCCTGCTGTGGGCAGGCTGGGTGGTCACCCATTCTAAGGAGAGGTCACGTGTGGCTCTCTGGCCTTCTGGGCCCCCAGGGATCTGGGAAGAGTCTGCCTCAGGAGTTTTCAAGAGGCTCCACACTGGTTCCCCAGAAATGTACCTGTCCTCTGTCCTCTTTCAATGGGGTGCCCGAACCTCTGCTGACCCTCCCAGTCTATGGGCATCCCTTGGCAATAGCACCTCCTGACTTATGGGTTTGAAATGTTTCCAAAGCAAATGGGTGGGTTTTCACCCCCACACTCCTCCTTTGAAGTTTTGTGAAGAATTTCCTAAAGAATGTAATGAAGAGAAAAAAATGTTATTAATGTTATTTTGTTAAAATATTTTTGTAGCATAATATATTAATAATAAAAGATATTCTAAGTTCTCTCTGGTTGCTCTTGCCTCTTCTCTTGTGTCCCAGAAAAATATTGGGGGGGGGAACCACCAAACTGCAGATCTGGAGTTAACAGTTATGTACTAGATTGTCTGCTCTTCTGCTTCATTGCTATATGACCTTGAGCAAGTCCTTGTCCTGCTCTGGGCCTCATCTAGAAAATGAGGTTTAGCCTAACTTGAGTCAACTGTGCTTTACTCTGGAAAGAACCTAACAAGTGGCTAATGGGGGATTGAGGCGCAAGGTGAATAGGAAAATAGTAAGTGAGTACCTAGCTGCTCTTGATAAATTCAATTAACCTGGACCAGTTGACTCACATCCTTGAGTCCTAAAAGAGCTGGCAGATGGGATTGCAAGCCACTCTCAGGGATATTTGAAAGACAGTAAAGAACAAGAGAGGCTTGAAAGAACTGGAGAAAGGCAGAGGTTATTCTGATTTTCAAAAGAAAAAAGAATCAAGACTGCAAATGAAAGCCCAGTGAACTTGACTTTGATTCCCAGAAAAATTCCACAGTAGATTATGAAGGAGAGGGGAGATGAGTGTCTCGAAAAGGCAGCAGTGCTCACTAAATCATCCTGGCTTCTTCAAGAGCAGGTCTTGCCAGACTTACATTATTCCCCTGTTTGACAAGGTTAATAAAATGGTAGATCAGATTGTATGTGGTAGACAGAGTTTATCTAGACTTTAGAAAAGCATTTCAATCAAGTCTCTCATGCTCATCTTGTAGATGAGATGGAGAAATGCAGGCTAGACAGTAGTTCACTTAGACCAGGTCTTCTTCTTTCCTGAGTCACTGACCCCACCTTGGCGAATGAGTCTGGGAAAGCCCATGAATTGATCCCTTCTCAGAATCATGTTTTTAAACGCACAAAACAAGATGCATAGGATTACAAAAGAAATTCATTATAGGAAAATATAGTCACTAGCAAGTTATACATAATAGATTTGCAGTTTCATGTGCAATCATCTTTTTTATTATACTATGTTATGTAAATGTTTACTTTATTCCATAAATGAAAATTTTAATAAATAAAAATTTTAAAAAAGAAATACAGCCACCAAAATATATTCTTTTTGAAAGTTCTTAGACCTCAAGTTAAGTAATTATTATGGGTTAGATGGACTTCCTGTGAGAAGTGCCATATAATTCACTCAGGAAAGAGTAAACAGATTGGCTTTCTGCAATGAGGACCTCATTGAGATGAAATAGCAGGAATCTTTAGTGTTTATGATCAGCACAGTTATGTGATTTCCTCTAGTAGTGTTTAACAATCCATGAGTAGGAGTGGAGAAGGTGAATGGTGGGGATGTTATGAGATTAGAGTGGATGGAATGAAAGTGAAAGAGATGAGTGGAGTCTGAAGAAAGAAGCAAAGGATTCCAGCATAGAGAAGGGGTAATGTTGATCTGTTTAACTATGGCAGCAAGATTTTGAAGGGAGAAAAGCGAGACCAGATCAGGGGGGATGGACTAGGAGATCAAGGAAGGGTCAAGTGACCAAAGGTTGAGGTGATTATAAAGAGTAGATTTAGAAGGGGTCAAGCAGGGGGAAATGGGGAAGGACCAAAAGTTCTTGTCAGATAGAGGACACTCAGCATTTGGGATTGCGAAGAAAGAATTCTTGTGGGTAATAATGAATTGACTTATGGGTACAACCATGCTTTTGTATTGCTGAAGTTTAGTAAAGTGCAGGTTATGGAAATTAAGAAGGTCAACAAACTGGCAGGCCAGCAAGGGGATGTCAGTATATGTACCAAGATCCCCAAAGGTAGATTTGTGCTGGTGAAGAAGACTGTGACCTAGGTGTTACTAATTGATTCAATGATTTATTAATTGAAAAGGGGGGGACAATGACCTGGTGGCTGGTAAATAATTGCTACCAGGATCTGGACAGGGCAATCAATCAGTATGAAATGAACCAGATGGGCTTAAAGTGAGGGTCCAGAAGTGGGAGTAAGGATGGAGGAATAGGCCTGCTCTTCCTCTTTGCCTACTACATTAGGGAACAGAAGAGAAGGAGAATCCAGTACTAGAGAGTAAGGCCAGGGTTGCAGCATTTTCTTGGGGGCAGTGGGGAAGAGCCACATTCCTTGATTTCAAGGAGATGAATAGAGGATAAAAAGAAGAAGTCTAGTATAAAAGGCAATTTGTTAACAACAGAACACCAATCCCAGTAACCTAGCATTATGCCAGAGTCACAGGAAGTCAGAGAAAAGAATGGAACAGGGCATTCTAAAAAGCATTGACTTAAGCCGCAAACCAAATTGACATCCCGAAAAGACGAACATAATCATCGATGAGAAAGATGGCCCTTCAATGAAAGAGAGATATTTGAAGCCTTCCTGCAAAAATAAAACAAAACAAAAATGACCAAAATATCCATCTTCAAAAACTCCAAATTACAGAAATATTAAAAAGGTAAGTATAATAAAATTAATTCTCTCATGTTTAAAAGCCATTGTTAAAAAAATTAAACTTATGGATAAAAGAGAGAACAAAAAAGAATCATCAAGACAGAAAAAAGACTTAGAGGGTTAAAGACGTAAGGGACCTTTGATAGTAAGTAGAAGTGAAGGCGGAAAAACTGAATGTTCTATAAACAAACCAATCTGTCAGCAAGCATTTATTAGGAGTGCTGTACAAAGAAGTAGAGATACAAGAAAAAAGGGGGAGGGGAAACCCCTGCCCTCAAAAGGCTTACATTCTAATAGGAGAGACAACAAGTACATGCATAGGTATATATAAGATACAGACCAAGTAGAAACTAGGTGACTTTAGAGGGAAAAGCACCAGCAGTTGGGGGAATCTAGAAAGGCTGAAGGAGGTGTGTATTTGGGGGAAGGGAATACCACAGGGGGAAGTTGTGGGGATGAGAACAAAGAAGGCAAAAGCTAGAAGGAATCAGAGTTGGAGATACCCACTTGCCCAGCCCCTATGTGAATAGAAAAACATGGCAATTTCTGAAATCTCTCAACATGATTGGAGGCAGGGGGAGGGACTACAGCAGAACACAACAAAATCAATGGAGTGGATGGGCAAAGACAGGAAACAGACATCTTGCTTTTTTTTTGTAGGGTGAGGGATGAAATGGTAGGACTAAAGAATGTTCCCATGTGGAGAAGTGTATGCCTGTGGTAAGAAACGGGAGCCTTATAATGTTTTGTTTGATTTGGTATTTTTCCCGGGGAAATTTACAGATTAGGAGACTGTCTGCTCCAAGAAAAGGGTTGTTCTTCCCAGGACTGAAGTCCACCTCAGGAGAAGGGATGCATAGGTCCCCCAGGGCAGCGAGATCCTGGGGTGGACAGCATGTGTGGGGATGGGAGTGGGGGAGAGTGGTAGCATAAAACCAGAGAGACAGTAAGTGATCATAGTAAGACTGGATGGACCTTGTGACTCAGGACACAGAATTAACTTCACCAAACAACAGTTTCCTTCTTTGAAACTACTTCTTTTGTGAATTGACATGTCGAAGAATGAGGGACAGCAGATAAACAAAAGGTAGGATGAGGTGAGATCTATAGATGTAATGACTTCAGAATGAGCTACAAAAGGGAGTTCCAGGTGGGTACTACAAAAGCACTCCTCTTATGAGGGACAGAGAGAATAAAGAAGGGACAGACATGGAAGAATAGAATTTGGAGCAGAGTGAATGGGAAGAGAAGTGCAAAGGATAAAGTAAATTAGCTTTCTTCTTGGAAATGGGCACAGCAAAATAAGTCATTTGATTGCTAAATATTTATTGAGCACCTACAGTGTGACAAGCACTGTGCTAGATGCTTGGAATATGGAAATACAGTAAAAGAACTGCGAAACAACCTGTCCTCGAGGAGCTGTATTACAACCCAGCTAGGGAGGGAGCCCAGAGTAAGGCTTTTGGTTTAAGTGGGAAGAAAAATTTTGAATCATACACCCAGCTGGGTGGCAAAAGAGAGGGTTAAATGAATCAAGTAAACAAGCAAATAAAAAAGAAAGGGAAAGAAGGAAACAAATGAACAATTTAAGCAAAGTCAAGGAACTTGGGATAGGGCAAGGAAGCGGTGATGGGGCAGGGGAAGAGATTATGGGAAGAGACAAGCATCAAATTACTGCAGATGAAATTAATCTTAAGGACAACGTGCCGGCTTAGAGAAGAAATATATTTAAAAATCAATACAAAACAAATAAATGGAGGGAAATGCAAACCTAGCAAATGTCATCTTAAATATGAATTTATTAAATGATTTAATAAAACGGAAAGTGTCAAGATGGAAAGAATTTTTTTTACAAAACTGAACATTCTGTTACGTACAAGAAACACATCTAAAAATAAAAACAGATGCAGAATGAAAACAAGAGGCCATAATAAAATTTAGTAGACACTGATTTCAGAAACAAATAGGAGTTGCAATCATGCTGTCAGCTGTAACAAAAAAAAAAATTTTGAATGTCAAGGGATGAAAAGTATTATGTTTAAAATTACCATAGACAATGAAACAACAGCAGTACTAAATGTATATGAACCAAATGTCACAGTATCCAAATTCATAAAGAAAAAGGTAACTGAATCACAAAAAATAAATAATACAATAATTGCAGTACTTTTTAGTATTCTCAACTCAGAGCTATAGAAATCTAACAGATAAACAGAAAGGAAAATGTACAACTGAACAAACTGCTAGAGAAGTTACTCTTGAAAGACTTATGATATTGAATAGGAACATAAAAATAATATATACATATTCATATACATTTCATTAATATTTCATACATATATTCATATTTTTTTCAGCCTCACATTGTACCTTTAACAAATGAAGCCATGTATTAGGGCTCAGATAATTTACAAATGAAATAAAAACACTAAAAAAACTTCATAGATCATAAAGTAATAAAAATTAAATATAAGGCATGTAAGAAATGACAAATATTAAAAATTCAGAGAATCATATAGAAATATCTGAACT